AAACTGGTAACATTGGCTACCTTTGGGAAAGAGAACAGGGCTGGATGAAGGATAATTAGGAGGAGTTTTAGTTTTATCTAATTTGAATTTCTTTGGTTGTAAGTCTGTTCCCTTGTGAAATTTTAAGATATGTTTTTTAAAGTTCTGATGGGAAAGTGTGGCGGGTTTGTGTGTCTGGTTATCCATGCCAGTCATTTCGGTTCTGCATGTGTGTCTTGTGCTTGGCTTACTGCCTGCTCTTCCCTGTGGCAGGTGGGCTTGGGCATCAGTACTCTGCTGACGTACGTCCCAACTCCTTTGGCTGCCGCTCACCAGTCGGGCTCCCTGGCTCTGCTCAGCGCTGCCCTTTGGCTCATGAATGAACTCCGAAGAGTCCCGAAATAATTCTCAGAGGATCGGCTTCCTAGGACTGAAACTGTGCTTTTGAGAGATCATCAGAGAGCACAAGAATTTGAGCTTTTCTGAGAGGAGGACCTTGGCATACCAGATGGTTTCCAAGTTGGTCAAGTTATTTAAATTCTTTGCCTGTTTTGGGGACAATCACTGGATCAAGCAAGTCATTAAGTGTGGTTATGCTTAAGGTTCCTTTTTAAATCTGTTGAAAATCAGATTTAATGTAGAGAAAGAATTGTCTGTCATTTGCTTCTTAACAGGCTCTGTGTCCGTTTTCTTAAATGTTGACAGGCTGTTGGTTCTACATGCATAATCTCTGTTTCCTTGACCTCCTGAGTCCTGGATTCTGCTTGAGTAGAAATTCTTATGATCTCAACTGTACTTCCATCAGGTGGAGATTCAAATGGATGGATTGGCATACCCTAAAGTAGCCAGATAGCCTTCAGCAAGAAACAGCTGTATTCTTCTAGCGTCTTGATTTTCAAAACGGGGGAAGGCAGTTAACCTAGTCCCTCCTGTGATAGTGCTGTTACATCACTACATGAGATGAATGGAGAATAGTATAAATCAGTTCCTGAAAGGGTTTCCTAAGAGCCTCATGGATAAGAAAAATACAGTCTTGATGGTGTAGTACATGGACATCTCTTTGGTTAAACAAATTATTGACTAATGAGTTGGTGTGATTTTGGCCTCTGTTGATATTTCACAGGGCTCAGTCTTAGTCAACATTTTTAAATCAGCACTTTGGATGAAGGCATCACAAAGACCATATCTGAGGATGGAGCAACCCAACATTGCTGATACAATAGATGACAATCACAAAACAGTTCCAGAGTGACATCATCAAATGAAATTAAACCAGTCATAAATGTAACATCTTCATTTAAATAGGTTATGTAAGTTTGGGATAGAGAAAATTAGCTTCTTATCATCTTCATATAAAAGACGACTTAGGGACTTCAGTTGGACACAGGCTCAGTACGAACCAACCATGTGATGACACTGGTAAAAACTAGTGGTGTTTAAAGATTCTATGAATAGAAGTGTCACAGCCATAGTCAGAACACCACACTGCAAGTGCTGCATTTCATTCTGGGTACAGCATGTTTTGAGGAGGATACTCACCAGCATGTATGTATCAAGAGGCAGGAACCAGGATAGCAAGGAGTCCAGAATCTGTTTCATGCTGGGAATACTTGAAAGAACTAGGAGTATTCAGCTGGAGGAGAACACTTAGAGAGACAGCAAGAATCCTGCCCTTGACAAGTTGAAGCCCCTTCTTAGAGAAGGAGTGAGCTTCCTTTGTGCTGCAGAGCTGGGAGCAGTGGGTAAAAGTTGTAGAAAGTTAGTTTTTAGTTTTGTAGAAGGTAGGAGCCACCTGGACCAGATCAGATGCTTGCTAGGGTGGGCTGGTGCAGACAGGTGAACCAGAGTGCAGGTGCCCGCCAAGGGGCCAAACCTCTGCTGAGTGCCAACCTGTTGCTGCTCTGCAGGTCCAGTTGTGAGATCCGACTTTTCAGACAAACCAAACATCCAGATTTTTATGTGAATGGTCTCAAGTTTTTTAGAACATTATGCAGGCTAAACAGATCTGGGAGCCATAAATGACGTTAAGACATGCCCTTGTACAGCTGCTGGACTAATGATCACAGTTCCCTTTCAACTCCAGTATCCTCTGGGTTTCAGTGTGGCCAACAGTGTATCATCCTCAAGTGGTTCTTAGCAAAATAGAAGTAGCAGTTTGTCTTTGATTTTGTTAATAAAAATCCTGGCCAGGAAACAGCTTTTGCTGTTGCCAGCAGTGGTTCCCAGCTTCTCTCACATTATAATCTTTCAGAATCCTGACCCCAGCCATAGCCATGATCAGTTAAATTAACGATCTCTGAAAGCCATAATTAGCAGATTCCATGGGTGATTCTGATGTGCTGACAAGTTCGGGAACCACTAGTAGCCCTAGTAGCTTACTTACCTTAGAAAGTTCTGACCAACTTATCCCCATTCCCTCCAAATTCCCACCTCACCCTATCTCATTTAATCCACTGTGGTGATGCTGCTTAAGTGTGCCAGCGGGGTATCGCCTCTTCCAGGTAGAATTCTCTAAAGAGAGAGAGCTGCAGCCACTGGGCAGGTTCCCAAACTATCATCTCCTGGTCCCCACATTAAGATTGTTCTTAGTTAATAATTGAGTCTGCAGAGGGCAGTCTGACCCAACTCAAAGAACCATATTCTAATGCTGCTGCTGTTCCCTCCAAAAAACAAACACCAAATGAATTAAATAATTTCAAGTTGCAGATGTTTTACTTCATTTTTTTTCTTTTATTAAAGATGAGTTAAGTTTGGAAAAACAGATCTGATTGCATTTAGTAATATAACTATTAATGCCCATCTCTGAGCTCCTGGTGAGTGGATATTATCTGAATTATTTTGTTTGCATTATTCCCAGCACCAGACACATACCACCAAATATTGTATGAATAAATGGAAAATGGATGATTACAGACTGATGTCCCGCATTATTCCCAGCACCAGACACATACCACCAAATACTGTATGAATAAATGGAAAATGGATGATTACAGACTGATGTCGCAGATACTGCCTTCAAATTAAGTCATCATGCCCAGAAGATGAAATGAATTTCCCTTAATATTTTCAAAGGCCAACAATCCTGTCAGTTGGTTTTAAAATACCAAAGGAAATTAAAATACCTGGCTTTCTTAATTAATGCAGATTATCTCTTTTGTCTTTAACTTACGTTGACAAATGCTGTCCATTGTGGCAAGGGTCATTATTAGCCACTGCTTAAAGTGATGCTGGGCTTCCCTGGTGGCTCAGTGGTAAAGAATCTGCCTGCCAACACAGGAGACTTGAGTTCAATCCCTGGGTCAGGAAGAAATGTTAACTCACTCCAGTATTCTTGCCTAGGAAATCCCATGGACAGAGGAGTCTGGCAGGCTACAGGTCATGAGATTTGCAAGAGAGTCCAACAACAACTTAAAACAACAAAGTGATGCTGACTGCAAAGACCAACACTGATGATCACAATAGTAGGATAACCAGTTTATCTGCAGCAATTCTTACGGTCCTGGCATGATGGTGGTTGTAGACTGGTATATGTAACATATATACCCATGTCCCTGCATAAGGGACAGTGCATCCCCTCTCTAATATGCATTGTGTATTTTGTTCAACACTGACTTAACAGTATCAGAATTTCAATAACTGTTCAGCAAAACTATCATTTAATGATGTGTTAGAAAAACATACAAACTTAGCAACCCCCCACCCACCCAAAATAATACCATGCAGGCAGCCTTTGGTTTTTGAAAGCAAGAAGGGAGTTTTTCATTGAGGGTTGTAATAAAAAGATGCCTTTCAGCACTGCAGGATCCCATGCTCAAGGCGGAAATCATGGAGGAGACAAGGTGTATACTTTAAGGCTTCAGCTAAAGGGGGATTGTAGAATAAAAATTTCAAATACAACAACAAATTCCAGAAATCAGTGGTTGCGATTCTTGCTTGCAGAGAAAGACTTATGAAGCTAATTAGGGGGCAGAGCCTTCACCACCAGCAGTTCTAACAGGCTCAACTGGCAGGTGCTCTGTAGGAGGGGTCACAGGGCTGCCTTACCTGGAGAAGTGGAGAGGAGTGATCAGCTGCCAGAAGACCTATGAGTGGCTGCAGTACTTAAAAAGGAGAGCCCCAGCTTGCCTGAAGTCATCGTGCATGCATGGCTATACTCATCCTGGGATTCTCAAATTTTTTCAACTTTGGTCTTCATAAAAATGGCAAGCAACAATTGAATACATTTTAAAAGTAGAAAGCCCTTGTAGTATGGGTAATGGTTCAGTTTTCCAAATAAAATTATATTATTGTTCAGATTTCCAGAGAAAGTCAACAAATGTATTCCTCCTCTGTCCCTCTAATAATGGTACTGAGAAATAGTGAAACATTAGAGGGGAAAGGAAACTAATATATTAGTATATATATACTAGTATTACATTAGTAATATATACTAATGTACTAATATAAGAAGTCCATGAGGATTTTTTTTTAAGTCTTTTTAACAAATATTTTTGTAATACCAACAAATCCTTGCAAGTTTGACTGACCATGTGGCCCTAGTGCAGGACTATGAAATGAGCATAACCTGAGACTAGTTTGGGGGAATTTGAAATATCTGCTACTACTTTTACCTTAATTCTTAATTCCAATTGAAGTTTCATTGCATACTACAGCAAAAAGGAAAATTAGATACTAGTTCTGAATTGGTTTGAAAGTTTAAAAACAGCAAAAAGAAATGGCACACTGGGTAAGGGAGTCTAGGAACTGCCCCATAAATACAACCAAGTTCCTTAAAGTAGCTCTAATAAACAGTTATACCTTAAAAAACTTAGATGGTAAAATCATAGCATGAGTTGCTTGGATATATTAACTAAAGAATAGATGTACTGAAAACCTGATATTTCTGACAAAGTATCTAATATTTTATTCCTAAACGTGAGCAACCACAAATGAGTATCAGAAACAATTATAAAGATCGAGCATGATTAGCTGCAGTCAGCTGTATTATATATATTCTGTTGAAACACAGTCTTGCAAGAAGATTCTATCAATGAACATTTTATTTGCATGTATTACTACATTCTGAGTGTCAGTTTTATCATCCATAAAATCACCAGGGTTAACAAATCTTAAGTTTCAATTTTAAAAAATCTCATTCTTTGATTGTGATTGCTTTTGGAAACTCCATTCCCACAACCTTTATTTCATGGGCTATGAGTAAAGTAAGAGATGACCTGACCACTGGTTCTTCTGGGCAGCCTGGTCTAAACCAAGGGCCACAGCCCTCTTCCTGAAATTACTCTGTCACTTCTCTGCCTTTAGTTCCTTATGCCAACTGTTCTCCCTTTGGAACTGGCCTCCAATCATCTTGGCTAGTCATAGATGAAAAATGAACCAGAGAGGGCAAGTGACTTGCCTGGGGTTCCTGAGCTACATTATGACAAAGCCAGGGCTATAATCCATAACCTGTGAGATGTTACTGTACCTCAAAAATATAAATATGGACATGATAATAAATGTTAATGCCTAAAATGACTAGCTTAGCAATTGCATGGCAGACTCAGTCAACCACATTTTGATAATCATTGCCTAAAGCCTTTGGTCATGAATGTGAGCAAACTGGGGAGATGGTGGAGGACAGAGGAGCCTGATGTGCCACAGTCCGTGGGGTCGCAGAGAGTCAGACATGACTTAGCGACTGAACAACAAGGCCTTTGAAGTCAAAGAAAGCACTTGGGCTAAGGAGGACAGAGGCAGAATACTTTGGATAATATTGGAAGAATAAATAGAAGGTTGGTGGAAAGTGATTAAGATTTCCTAGACCAAGGAAAATCAATTCAAGGAGCTAAAGTATAGAGAGATGGTATTAAGTTGGTGCAAACTTAATTGTGGTTTTGGACCGTGAATTTTAAATCATTATAAGCTCAAACAGCTCGGAACCATTATAATCAACACATTGTGCCAACGAGATTACTGTAGCATAAAAATCCTTGCTTCAGGATTTGACAAACTCTTGAAAAGCATTTTCTGTCTCCTCCTGGTTGTGGAAGCATTTTCCCTGCAAAAAGTTGTTGAGATGCTTGAAGAAGTGGTTGGTGAGAGGTCAGGTGAATATGGTGAGATGAGGCAAAACTTTGTAGCCCAATTCGTTCAACTTCTGAAGTGTTGATTGTGCAATGTGCAGTCAAGCATTGTTATGCAGAAGAACTGGGCCCTTTCTGTTGAGCAATGCCTGCTGCAGGTGTTGCAGTTTTTGATGCAACTCACCAATTTGCTGAGCATACATGAAATGGTTTCTCTGGGATTCAGAACGCTGTAGTGGATCAGACTGGCGGCAGACCACCTTTTTTTGGTGCAAGTTTGGCTTTGGGAAGTGCTTTGAAGCTTCTTCTCAGTCCAACCACTTAGCTGGTCATCACCAGTTGTCATATAAAATCCACTTTTTCTCACACATTACAGTACAATTGAGAAATGGTTTGTTGTTGTTGCATAGAATAAGAGAAGACAATACTTTAAAATGAAATTTTTGATTTGTGATCAGCTCATGAGGCACCCACTTGAGTTTTTTCACCTTTCCAATTTGCTGCCAGGGCCAAATGCCAAACCATAGAAGGGCTGACACTGAGTTCTTCAGTAACTTCTCATGTAGTTGTAAGAGGATCAGCTTCGAAGATCCTCTCAACTGGTCGCTGTCAACTTCCAGTAGTCAGCCACTGCGCTCCTCATCTTTAAGGCTCTGGCCTTTGCAAAATTTCTTGAACCATCACTGCACTGTACATTCGTTAGCAGTTCCTGGGCCAAATGCATTGTTAATGGTGCAAGTTGTCTCTGCTGTTTTACAACTCATTTTCAACTTGAATAAAAGAATTGCTCCAATTTGCTTTTTTGTCTAATTAACATCATTTCCCTAGTTTAAACAGCAAGTAATAAGTCATTATCAAAAAAACAGAAAGCAAAAAATGTGCATTAAAATGATGTATAACATAACCATATTTAAGAATGTATTGCAATATCAAACAGCAAATTTCAAAAATGCAAAACCGCAATTACTTTTGCACCAACCCCAATAAAATTTGGATTAGAATTAACTGCAACTTAAGTGAATGTAATGGCAAATAATTAGGTGATAAGAATAATTCATGATAAGAATTCAGAAGAGTGATGGGTTGTGCCTGCATAAAGAATAATAAGCCTTACTCCTATAAACCACTGACTAAATTTTGACACTTATGACCTATTAAAAACACTAAAATAGTTCAGGCTTGCTGTTACTGTTCTAAGGAAGATTGCTTGGCAAGATTCAAAGAAACTAGTGGAATGTGAATTTTATGAAATCATAATCATTTTCACATGAAAACTACTCAGAATACAGAAATGCAAATAGATATCTTGAAAAAATGAGGGCAAAAAGAAGGTTAAAAGATAAGGCTTGTGTGATTCTATATGCAAGAATATTTCATTTTGAGAAAGCAATATATAGAAGTAATTGGCCCTGACCATTTATCCTCAGCAAGGGATAAATGGCTTCTGTTTCTAGTGAATGAGATTTCCTTTAAAATTTTTAATTGGGAGCAATGGAAGAAGCACAGGAGCCAGAACCAAGAGCAAATACTCAGTTTTTCTGAGGGGTATGACAAAAATTTGTCCTTATTTTTATACCATGGAACTCAGATGCCTTATTCATTGTAATAAAGCCTAGATAATATTAAAATAATAAACATGATAAAATACACAAAAAATCAGACTAATTAAAATAAAGAATAAGAAATACGTTTATATGGAAAAAATGATAAACAAGTATCCTGAGTTTCTCAATTATAAAAAGAACAATACCAATCTGAAAGGTTGTCATGATGATTAAAATAACATACATAAAATTATTAATGGAGTGTCTGGTACACAATCAGTGCTTTGCAAATGGTAGTTACTATCATCATAACCAGGATGAAGAATAACTTAATGAGAGCTTTCAAATTGGACTGATCACTATCTCCTCCATGCTTCAATTTCATTCTGAGCACACAAATGTGATCACTGTTAGCCAGCTAGGTAGCTTTGGAGAAGATCATTGAGTAGATCACACAAGAAAATAAGAAAACCAAAAACAGTATTTGGAAACGAAGGTGAGGGAAAAGAGTTACCTGAGTAGGCAATGGCTAGCAAAAACATACTATGATGTTATTTATAAGCAGCATTCATAAGGCAAGGGCTGGCTCACAGTACAGACACAAAGATAAGAACTCAAAGAAAATCAAGGCAATTTAGAAATCTTAAAAATTAAACTGCTGAGACATAAGCACTAATGAAAAGTTAAAAGTTCTTCCAAAAGAGCCTGTCAGACTCTGCTGGATCCATCTTTATCTAATTTGAAAATGATTCAAGACTCATCATCTTTTCACTTACTTTAAGTATACTTACTTTCATCTCAGTTTATTTCCAAGAGGATCTGGATTTATTTTTCTTGGTTTTATGAAGCACTTAACTCCTTTCTACTCTCAGTATGAAATTTATTTTTTAACAATTTCACTTTTTTTCCATTAAAGTCAAGGATTTTTCCCTTACTCCTGTAATCCTAGAACTCAAAGCTGACAAAATAAGAAAACTATTTTAACTCTGGGAGCATATTCTTAAGCAGGACATTTAAGGCTACACAGAGGAAAGATTAAAGTATAAAGAAGGTTCCATGGGGGATGAAAAAGAAATCCTTGTGCAATTTAAAGGCTAAATGCAGAGAGGAAGCAAAGATCCTGAAGGGTAGTGGATAAAAGTGTAATTACTATGGCTTTTCCTCTCTCCCCATTAATGGAAATGCTGTTTATGAATGAGAAATCTCTTAGGAAATATTCTGGAAGTTACCAGGTGGATTATTAACAGATTTATCTGTCTATTCCAAAGTTTGTGATTTGCTTCTTTTCAAATAGTCCAAGAGCCCAACTGAGAAAACTTCTATTTCTCAGAAAAACATTAATAAATAAGAGCTTGGATTTTATTGCCTTGGCCCACTCTCCTGATATTGTTCTTTCCTTCTTTAAAAAAACCCAAATGTATCCCTTCCCAAACTACATATTGATTTTAGCAGTAAAATAAAAGAACTCTTCTTGAATCTTCCCACATAAGGACTTATAAAAACAAGCCAAGAGGACAGTGACCTGAAACCAGACAAATCCAAGTCTCCAATCCCCATCCCAGTTTCTCCATCCCTATAAGCACCCTTAAGGCTCAAAAAGAAAAATTAATGCCCAAACAGCCTCGGAGCCACAGAGACATGGAAAAATTTTCTATTCTGGTCATATGAGGCATCAGAAAATATATTGTTAAAATCTTCACTGGACCATTCATTTAGAAAGGGTTCTAACCTTTTAAAATCTAACTAATATCAGCTACAGGATGTCAGGGATCTTCAGCCACATTCACAGTGGCTTCTTTGTCGAGTAAGCAAAGAAGTTGTGTTATTTTGGTTGCCTGGAAATTCTTATCTGTTCCACTGATCTGCAAAAATCTTGGATCCCTATTAAAGGCTGTGGATCTCCACATAAATGATATCTCTGTTACAGAGAAAGAAGGGGCTGCTGCACTTGGTAGAATGTCTTAGGCTTTGAATCAGATGCTCCAAGTTTGGTTTCAGCTTAGGCTTCCAGCGTGCCCAATGCTGAACTTCATGCTTAAAGCAAGGGGAGAAAAGTCTCGATCCCAGGAGCATACCAGATCTCTCAGATAAAGAAGTAGAAGCAGGCTTCAATTGGACTAAAGTTGGTCCCCTCTGTTAGCACCAATCTCTCATTTAGTTCTTCATAGACTAAATTACAGCTTCTCTTCAGAGAAGAGGACCTGGATATTGAAAAGGAATTAAAGTAGATACTGAAGGAGAAATTCCAAGGCCAAATATCCACAAAGTCAGGCAAAGCAGCATCTGAGGCCAGTACCAGAAAGTGGTAGAATTCAATGGGCAGCAATTCTGGGGTATTTGAGCTTCCCGTTAACCTGCCCATCCTCATGGCCCGACCTGTACCCCAATGATGGGCACCACCTCCTCGATCCATAGCAAGTTCAGTGGGGCTGAGGCTCGAGTTTGTCGGTGGTGAATCCGACGTAGCCGCAGAAGGTACAGGATGATGGCCAGTAGCACCACCAGGATACAGGCGAAGAAGAGATAGTGGTTGTAGACGAAGGAGAGACGGAACCAGCTACCATGGGCCTGTCGGACACCCTCCTGCCGTAGATCCCTAAATAAGAAGTTGAAGGTGGAAAGAATTGTTAGTTTCAGAGAGGGATATTTAAAAAGTCCAGTGGTTTTATCCCATTTATTCCATCCATGCAAACATGCTACAACACCAGCTCCACAGGGCAAGCAAAGCTGAAACATGTCCCCAGGTCCAGATTCCTCCTGTATCTTCCTTTCCCTGGCCTAGAGGGAGCCTCTGAAAGTGAAAGTTAAGTAGCTCAGTCGTGTCCGACTCTTTGCAACCCCGTGGACTGTAGCCCACCAGGCTCCTCCATCCATGGGATTCTCCAGGCAAGAATACTGGAGTGGGTTGCCATTTCCTTCTCCAAGAGGGAGCCTCTACCCCTTCTAAAATCTGGAGACAAAATGAGAAGCCAAAAAAGTGAATAGTAAGACAAGACTGGTCATCTGTAAAATGTCAACAGTGACCCCATACCACCTCAGCCTACACAGTTTGTAAATATGGTACTAATGAGAATAGGGTGGCCCCTGAACCTAATCAAGAAATCAGAATATATCTAAGTATTAAAAAAAAAAGTTGCTATGCTTCCTGAGAGTTTAGGATATATCCAGACAAAGATGTCACTTAACCAATTGTAATCTGAAGAAAAAAAGAGAGATATGTAAACCTAAATGCAGTGGTCCATCTATCTAAAAGAGAAGCTCTTCTCTTATAGTCCAAATACCCAATACATTTTCATTCTGTTTGACCTGCAGTGTTTTTTTAAAAAATGTGAATCTCAAAAAAAAAAAAAAAAAAAATAAGAGCCAACTCACTGGAAAAGACCCTGATGCTGGGAAATAAGAGAAGGCAGGAGGAGAAGAGGATGTCAGAGGACAAGACGGTTGGATGGCATCACCGACTCAATGGACATGAGTTTCAGCAAGTTCTGGGAGACGGTGAAAGACAGAGAAGTCTGGCGTACTGCAGTCCATGAGGTCACAAATAGTCGGACACAACTGAATGAACAACGAGGCAGATATAGTTTCAGAGTAACTTTAGTTCATCAGTCAGTATCTTAGAAGTTGTTTGTAAGAGCTCAATTATAAAGACTGATTTGTTGTAGATAAATAAAATTGAATTCCTGGGAATTCCCTGGCAGTCCAATGGTTAGGACTTGGCGCTTTCACTGCCGAGGGCAGGGCATGGGCTGGATCCCTGGTTACTAAGATCCCACAAGTCATGCAGCACGGCAGGGGAAAAAGTAAAAAATTACTGAATTCCCGACATTACAAAGAAGAACACACTCCAGGCCAATAATTCTCAAGACTTCCTTCTGTTTCAACATATGTTGTAAGTAACAGTTTCACATGGCAGTAATAAGGGGAATTTGGATGTTTTTTGTTTCTCTTTTTGAGGGAGCGGTCACTTAAGAAACCTATTTTGAGGCACCAACTACCATCCTCTAAGCTCAAGATGCTTGGTCAGTCCACTTACCTGAGTGGTAAGAAGCGTGTTTTATATAGAATGGCTCCCAGCGTCCACTGAACCTCTCGGTCATAGACCAGCTGTGCTGTCTGCAGATTTGGATAGTCATAGGGAAAGTGGAATCCTTCATGAAGAACTTGGTACATCCAAGCCGACTTAAAACACTGATATCTGTGTGAAAAAAATAATTAATTTTGTAAAGGAATAAAAAGAAAAAGCAAAAAACTAATGCTTTATGCATATTCTCACTGAAGTGTCAAAAAGACCCCTCTCTCCCCATTTCACCTTCCTCACCTCTAGATGGAGCCAAATCTGAGCCTACCTTATCTTCAAGTTGACCGCAAAAGTGAGGCACACCTTCAAGCAATGCAACAATGCTACTGTGACTGTTTTTCTTTTGCTTTCTTTTTTCCCCTAACAACCCTTACCTTCAGAGAGCATGCTGAAATATCTACAAATGTAATTATATGACATTTGGGATTTGCTTCAAAAGAACCAATTTGTGGGGTAGGAAAATAGATGAAATAAGAAGGGCTGGGAGTTGACAGCTGATAGGAGAGAAGCTGGGTGATAGGTACTCAGGAGTTCATTATACTGTTCTATTTTCATTTATGTTTAAAATTTTTAACTAAAACGTTTACAAAATGGGAGGACTGATGGACCAAACTGGCAAAATACTGATATTTATTGAAGCTAGGTGACAGTTACATACGTGTTTCTGTTACTGTTCTACTTTTCTGCATATTTGACATTTTAATAAAAATGTAAAAATAAAAAGACCACCACTTTTGATTTCAAACCACTTGGAGAGAATACTTTTTGGTAACCACCAGTTTGTTTCCCTTGACTTCACTAAGGTAAGTTCACTATTTTGGCCTCTACCCTTCAGAAAATAAAATCTAAAATAACCAAATTCTCTTTCAATGTAAATCCAATCTGTACTATCACTCACTCACTCACTCTCATTCATTGTTCATACACTTTAAGGCCACACCTAAAGGAGAAAAGGAAGTTACTTACTTGAGTCGATGCTCATCTGCATGTGATGAAAAGAGGCCATTCTTGAATCTCTGAGTGAGTACTGACCAAGCCATGCCACAGTAATCCTGGAACAAACACAGAGAAATGATGCAACATGAAATGGGAGGTAAACTCTGTAATTCCCCTACAGTCAGTTTTCCATTTCTAAAGTTACTTGTGGGTTATTAGTTGACAGGAAAACAGAAATGGCATATTCAGTCATTTAACACTGTGCCAGGTCCTGGGCAAGGCAAGTCCTTGCACTCAGGCCACTAGATGACTTGAGGGGCCTAGGAATACTCCTTTTCATTCCTATTGCCTCCATGTCCATACAAAGCCAGCCTGACATGGCTCCTGAGCCTCTTAGGCTTTAGAGATGGGTAAGGTCAGGACCGGGAGTAGCAACATCAAAAGCCAAAGACAGCTTCATTCTACCCTATGTAGGACTGACATGAACAAATCAAACAGATGGAACAGAATGGTCAAAAATCTATCATTGGCCTGTCTCGTTGTTGTAATTCTCACCAAAGGAATCATTCCTTTTGGTTTGTTCAATAAACTAGTATTTCCTGAATGTCTACTTTGTGCCAGGTGGCTCTAGCAGTGAAAAAAACAAAAAATTCTATTTTTATGAATCTTTTCTTCCTGTGGGGGGGGGGGGGCAGACGATAACCAAATATACATGCATACATACATACATACATATACACACATACATTCAAAGAGTGTGTTAGATAACATAAGTGCTCATGGGAAAGATACTAAAGCAGGAAAGGGAAAAGGGTAATATTGGGGAGGGCTGCAACTCTGCATAGGATGGCCAAGGAAGATGTCACAGGGAGGAGAACGGTTGAGTCAAGGTTAAAAAAAAGAACAAAATCATCTTTTCCCTGAGAAAGAGAATATATTAAGGCACTAGCAGTTTGGGCAAGTAATAACTTGAGTCCTATGGAGTTAAGGGAACAGGATTTGAAGAAATTTTAAAATGAGAGAAAGATTCAGGCCATGGACAGTCAGGGAACGTTGGAAAGGAAAGGAAATATGACAGTATTCCTGGAGGATGGAGAGGAAAGGACAAATACAAACCAGGCTTTCCTCAAAATTTCTTAGGGACTGCCTTTAGGGAACAGAACAGTACATATACTACATATATTATTTCTTCTGAAAGCTCTTATACTAAGAGAAATTGAAGAAGACGGAGAGAATAAAAAATATGAAAGGACAGATCTCCCCATAAGTTTTTCTGCTAAAAGAGAAAAATATACAAAAATGAAAAAGAGACGAGTCCAAATTGAACAGGAACTGTGGAATGCTAGCTAAACTTTTACCTGTCCATACTGGCCTCTTAAAAGCTCAAGGTAAGAAAATGAAAGTGGACTTGCCCACCTGTGTGACATCATCTCCAAAAGCATTTACACCTGGGAACATCCAGTAAGGGGAAAATATCTGGAGATGACACTTTGTCCACAAACATTAGACAAGACTATTGACAAGCTGGAGGAAAAACCATTAGCCACCATGACAATATTAGCTCTGGGTGATAATTTTGGTAACTGGACACCCGTGGAGACCTAAGTTAATTAATTAGCAGGCAGTAGAGCATAAGAGGTTACTTCTCTAAGTTTACCTCCTCCCTCGTCTGTAAAATGACGGCTCCCAGGGCTCCTGCCAAGAAGCCAGTGAGATCACGCATGCAAAGCCGTTTGCACAGCGTCTGGTACAAAGTTAGGCATCCAATAAATGGCTGCTGCCAGCATGAGTCATTTTTACGATTAACAATGTACCTGAGCAGCCTTGGCAAATGTTGGCCCATGGTAGCGGCCACCAATGCGCAACACATCCTCTGTACAGTAAAAGAACTCGGAGAAACCATAGAACTCGCTGTTGTTGAAGTCAATGGGCGACTGGTAGATGCCGTTCAGTGAGGCCTGGCTGGTGTTGGAGCGAGCCAGCAGGGGGCTCAGCATGGCCCCACAAGCCGCCCAGTCCCCTCGTCCTCGGACATGCAGGACCTGACTGTTCCTTCCCACCACATCTGTGAGTCCCACAGGCAGGCAGGGATCCAGAAAAGGATTGTCGGGACTCAGACCTGTCTTGTGGCCCAGCAACCTGTCACAATGACAAAAACAAACAAATCACATCACTACTGCATCCAGTTTCCTCAAAGATGCTTCCCAGACATCTTGTTATTCTTCTACATGACAGCCCTAAACACAAGGATGCACATTACCACTTAGTTGCAGCACATGAACTTTTAAATTATGCAAATTCAATTTAGAAAAAGAAAGAAATATGGCAGTGATTTTGTTCAGTCTTTTAGTCATCACATATATTTCCCAATATATAGTGAAACTGGAGATGTGAATCTGCTATTCTCCATCTGGTCTTCATTACCACGTGCCTCTTAAAAGTGAAAAGATTTCACCATGCTGATCACAGTTCTAATGTTTCGAGAGACAACTGGGAGGAGGTGAAGTGGGAAGGGCTGAGGACAGTCCATGGCAGTGGTGCAGTGGCAATGTATGGCAACAGTGACTGAGGACATGCCCAGCTCTGAGGGGGAAGGAGGGCCAAGTTTTGATTCCCACCACGGCCATCACACAGCTCTGGTTATTTCAAGTCTGTACTTGTCTAGCAATAAGAGATTAATATGCAGACCTGGCCAAAGGTGGAAATTAAGTGCCAATTAAGACCAAATACAACTGTAGTTTGCCAAATACAATGAACTATTCATCAATTCCTAAGACAAATGTGGATGAAGATGTACACACAAGTGTAAAGGCTGAAGGACGGAATGGGAACGTGGCAACGCAACAAAATGCTTTGGAACAAGTGGAGCCTCTTTTGAGGATGTGACACCACCTATAAGGAAAGCTCAGAAAATTATCAAAAAGAGAGAAACATTAAGTTTTAACATCGCAGGAAGCACAGGTTTCTCTACAGATTTGCAGCTTCACAAGATGAGTAATCAGTTTTCTGAATTAGGTAACTTAGATCCATAATGAGAAAAAACTTATGTGTGAGAAGATGATACAAGCCTGTTCTGAAGCAGCAGAAAACAGCAGGCAGATATAAAGGAGGAGCAAAACAACAAAGGAAGAAAATGGAAAAGGAAGCACAGTAGCTAGTGGAAAAGGACCAAAACAAAATTGGTGTGAAACTTTCATAGTAATTGTTCTTCAGATACCACAGTGCTAATGGGAGCCATCTGAGCTCTAGGCCAAGCAACATTTGTATGGAGGCCTGGATACATAAGAGTATCTTCAGAACACAAACACACTGCTTGATTTTAATGCATTCATCAATCATCCGAATAACAGACTTCTCCCAAAGCACCCTGAATTCTTAGGAGCTGAGACTCAGAAAAACAAAAAAGACTTGAGACAACATTTTGTCTAACACGCTCCCCATATAAGACGATTGCTGTAGAGAAATTATTACAAGTGGGATACACCAGTACCTTTTCAAGCTATTGTTTCCAGCTAAACAAATGGGGGTGAATAGTTTCATGGTGGAAAAGAACTCTCTTCTCTATTATGCTGTCTTTTAATGTGCATGATGATACAAAGAATTTTAAATATTAAAAACCCACAACTATATGTATACTATGGTTTAAATACTTCATCTGGCACACAAATAAAGAATCAGTGATCCATCCAGTGCTGGAGGAAAAAGTGTCTACTCTGGACTTAAAGAGAGAATATTTTATGCACGCTATGGAATATTTAAGTCCCATGTAAAATGCAACTCCACTGTAATTTGGCAAACAGGTTCTGAGCACTTCCATGTGGAAGAAACTTCCAGAAGCTATGTTATACTACACAATTTAAATTAATGACTTAATTGATCTCACTTATCCTGTGATGCCATGTCTGAAGATGGACACAGCAAGAGGTCACTGCAATAAGCCACTGTGCTTTTCTAAGTCCTAATAACAAAAGTTAGAAGGCACTCCGATGAACATCAAGTGGGACGACTAATAGACATGCTTCGAGAGACAGTGATGGACAGGGAAGCCTGGCGTGCTACAGTCCACGGGGTCACAAAGAGTTGGGCACAACTGAGCAACTGAACGACAACACCAAGCTATCCCACTGGCAGGGGTGGCAAGGAAGGAGGAGGCAAGGACATACCTATTACTATCTTGGTAGGATGCAACCATCTCTGCCAAATATCTGCAGCCTGACAACATTCTATTTCAGAATCACAGATCCCATGTCAAGCGTACCTGTTCTTGTTAAGAGTTTCATTCAATACAAGATCTTCATAGCGCTGCCGGGCAAAGTTGCCCCCAAAACCCAGAAAGGTCGTGACATAAACCCTATACACGTGTTCTGTGTGTTGCACATCACAGCCCAGGTTGAACTCAGCCAGCAAGATCTTCGCAGCTTCTTCCTACAATATGATGTAAAAGAAATTTTAGTTTTGGTTGATTTCTAGAAAGGTATGACATTGCTAATACACCAGGTTTCACTAGCTATGACTACTCTATAAGACATTTTGTCTTATAATAGCATTCTTTCATCTTCATAACGCTATTTTAAACAAAGACATAAAATGACCCTAACCTTGTCATACAATTAACATAGTCACAAAATTCAGAGCTGATGACTTTCAGAGTTTAATTATTTTCATAGATGATGAAACTTAAGTCCATATGACTGCCCTACTCAAAAGTTTGCTCGTTCCTTACTATCTACAGATAAAAAAGCCAAATCCCCTAGCATGGCTCCCAAGACTCTTCATGATCTAACTTTCTTTATCTTATCACTTCCCAGCAATCCCTATTACCACACTTAAAAACCCCAAACTACAACAGGCTATTCATCATTCCCTGGACATTCTGGGCTCTTTGCTGTTTTTTCTGTGCTTTTGTGCATACTGTCACCTCCATACAGATGGCCTTCCCTTAACCTCCACTATGCAAAAGGCTACTATCATCCAAGGACCAGGTAAATACCTTACTTTCCATGAAGGCAGCATGGAAGGCGCCTATTCAAGCCTTTGTGAATGTGGTTCACCCTGTCAGTGCCCACACTGCTGTGGCTCTCTGTTTAGACCCACGATGCTCAACCAGAGGTGATTTTGCACCCCCAGGGGCAACTGGCAGTGTCTGAAGACACTTTTAATTGTCAAAACTGGGAGTTTGGGGGATATAGGGGCATTATGACATCTGATAGAGGCCAGGGATGCTGTGAAACATCATACAATGCACCAGACAACCTTCCAGAACAAAGACTTATTCAGCCCAAAATGCCAATTGTGCCAATGATGAGAAACCCTAGTTTAGATCAAATTACAGAACTGTCGTGGTCTGCCTGTTATCACAGGCGGTCTCCACTGATAGATCACAAGCATTTGGGGGAGTGTAACATGTCTTATGTCTTGCACATATTAGGTGCTGAAAAATGTTTTATATCTTTTTCTTCTGTATGATAAAACTTCTCCCTCAAAATGCATTATTTACATTCTAGTAAGGCAAGGAATAACAGAAGCACAAGAATGGAATCATTTGGTAAATAACATCTAATGAATAAGTATTTATCAAATACTGTACTCTGGGATTTACATTATCACATTTAATCCTCAGGCAACTCTTCCAGATAAGTAGTATAATAGCTAAAATGTATTAAGCTTTTATTACACGTTGGGCAGCTTGTTAAGTTACTTTATACAAGTGGTATTATTTCATACTCACAACTTTATGAAATAGATACTATTATTATTCTGTTTTTACACATGAGGAAACTGAGGCTCAGAGAGGTAACTGACCCAAGATAACATAAGCTAGCAATGATCTGAAGCAATGGACCCAAGAGAGTTGGTGTAAGTCAGAACATAGTGCCCTTCCTTCTCAAAGATGGGCATTCCTAGCAACTGAATTTCCCCAAAAGGTAAAATACCTCTTGTGGAGAAAGGACAGAAGTTGAGGTAGGAACTTCATAAGCAATTTGGAGAGAGGCTCCTCCCATATCCAGTATCCCTACTGTCCTTCTGCGTCCTGTCACCAATTCCTGGGGAGCTTCAGCATCAGCTTCTGAAATAAATGAGGTAAGTTAAAAAGCAGTAAAGGAAAGCAAATTAGGACTGAAATAAATGAGGAAAGTTAAAAAGCAATAAAAGAAGCATGTTAAGTCTTGAAAAAAGAAGGAAAAAAACAAATCAAAATTAGCACTTACATGCTAGTGATTGGTTATGACACAAATCTTCAGCCCTTAGAGCTGTCTTAAGAAGACAATATCACTCACCATCTTCATGGTCAAATCTTCCCAAAACAAAGTTGATTCCAATCCATGCATAAACCCCTAAGTAAGAAACATAAAAGCCCCTGCTTAATTTTCTACTGTGATAGCATGTGTACACCTCTCCACAGCTGCTCTTCCCCCCTTTTCCTGGAAAAAAAGTGATCATAGTATTTTATTCCACACTCTCAGTGTATGAATTTAAAATTTTTTATCTGGTGATGTTTTTCCCTTTTAAAATTATTTGCATTTTCTAAACTTCCTACAATGAATAGGAATTAGTGTGTAAAAATAAGTAAAGCTCTGGGCAAGACAGAATTAATTAAGCACACCTGCCCTGTCTCCCCACTGAATAAAGTATAAACTCTGGATAGAATGTACAGGGTAGCTGTCTGAAGACTCTGAAAGTAAGTGACAGAAGGCACGCTGGGGCAGACATCAGACTTTAAAGTACCACCAAAATTGCAGCAAGCTTCCCATTTTTCCCCCTCAGACACTGTCTGGCTTGGACTGAAAACCAGCTTAAAATACAAAACCAGATATGCACAGAAAGAACTAGAAGGCCCTGTTTTGTGGTCCAAGGATCAGAAAGGGGGACTCCAAAGGTTCAGAAGGGAGGGGGGGAGTTCCCTGCTTTCTAAAAAATTTGGTTCTCTGCTACTCCAGGTAATCCTGCATCAGCACAGGGAGAGACTGGTAGATGCCTATCTCTCTGAGGGGTATGAATCCTTTCTGACCAGAGGAGCTATGGCCTGAAGAGTTGGGGCAAAGTCCTATTGCTCACTTTACTCCCTCTGTCCTCTACCACTTAGCCCTGGATACAGATGCAGTCATGGGAAATGCATGGCACACTGGGCAAATTAAACCCCTGACTTTCTACCAAAGGACCATGAAAGTGAGCTGCAGGGAACCAGAAAGTCTCGGGGAGATAGTGGAGAGTTGGGAATGAGGTGGTGTAGGAACTCCTGGGTTTACATGTGTGATCTGACTCTAAACAACATATCAAAGGTTCTGAGAACTGACCTACTGGCTAGTCAATCCATTTGTATGGGTTGTGCCCACGTTCAGATTGGTCATTGGCTGGCATACACACAGGACAAAACCTAATCTCAGTGCCAGAATCAAAAGAATCACCATCCACAGAAGGCAGGTCAGAACTTAAGGCCTGAACCTAACCAGTCTGCTAAGACAAAAAAATTAACATTCCCTTTATGACTGAAACAAGACCCAGGGTCTAACAATGTAATATTCAAAATATCTAGGACACAATATAAAATGACTTGAAAGACAAAGAACTAGGAAAATCTCAGCCCATAAGGGAACAAATGCCAACCCTGAGACGACACCGGTGTCGGAATTATCAAATAAGGCAGCTACAGAAAGTGTTCAGTCACTCCATTGTGTCTGACTTTTTGTGACCCTTTGGACTGTAGCCTACCAGGTTCCTCTCTGTCCATGGGATTCTCCAGGCAAGAATACTAGAGCGGGTTGGCATTTCCTTCTCCAGGGGATCTTCCCGACCCAGGGATTGAACCTGGGTTTCCGGCTCTGCGGGTGGACTCTATTGTCTGAGCCACAGGGAAGCTCCAAGGCGGCGATACAGCCAGGATATGAGAGCAGTCTTCCAATGAATACAGCAAAAAAAAATGGAGTAAAACCTAATGGGAATTTTAGGACTGAAAAATATAAAACTGAGATTGAAAAAGGTGAATCTTATCCTCAGTGTGAACTGCAACTAGAAGACAGTTTTCTGTTTTTCAAGAAATGGAAATATAATTCACCATAGAGGGCACATTTGGGCAAAATGAGACCACGCATGCAACTCCACCCCAAAACTACAAACCCCAAGTGCAAGCTTTAACTGCTCAAGGCCCAGTACCTTCTTGCTTTCCAGAGATCACTTCTGCCTGAGACTGAGAAAAGAGGAAGTCAAACTCCAGAGGTAAATCTTTCACTAGATCAGCCAAGATAGCCAACTGCTTCCTGCAAGAAAGAACCAAAAAAAAAAAGCCCCAAGAGTTAATGGTTAAACCCTCTTCTCACAAACAGCCTCAACTTGACCTTCTACTTAGCCTTATTAGACCCCACTGTTCACTGACGCAAGCCACTTGATCCCTGCTTCTGTTTGGTACCCCCTTCTATTTCAAAGTCTTAAAATTACTCAAAAGCATAGCCTCCCTCTTAAAAGGCAATATGGTAACAGTAATACTTATCTTTTATATAATGCTACAATTCAAATAGTATTAGAAGATGAGACTATGGTTCTATGCCTCTCACAGGCTAAGTATGGATAAGCTGCAGGAAGCTGGAGCACAGTTTCATAATCTATAAAATAAATGTAATTACGCTATTCCTAACCACCATGAAAGGAGGCTGCTAAATTGAGGAACACACTCTCATCCTCAGATCTTACACAATACAGAAACACATCACCACACAGGAAGAAGACTTTGGCCCACAAGTTTTTATATGATCCTTTACATAAACTCTTAAATTTCCTTTTCTATATTTCAAGGGTTGATTTTGTTTTCATAAAAATCTTATCATTTGGAAAAGCCAGAGCAGGATCAAAATCCAAAAGTCATAATTTGAAGATGATACTTGAAGCTTAGTATCTACAGGGCCATTCTGTCCTCTAAAGTTTTATGTTATTAGTATGATCAGGTAAGGACAAGCAAAGAAACAAAGCTAGAAGTAATAATATGAATCTAGAGATAATGCTGGTTAAAAATAAGAGTAATTATCTTGGATTTTACAAATTACTCATTACAAAAATATTCTGCTGGTTATACTGGTTGTCAGCATGACTTGGTAAAGAATGTTATTAGCCCTTGAAAGTGAAAATTACATTTAAAGTAATAATCTTCCAAGATAATGTCAAGTATAGTTTCTAAAAAAGCTCATTGTTATATACAATAAATTTTTCAGATAAAAATTTCATAGGGGGAACAAGAAATGCTATTTTTGCCATTCTTACTGAATATGTTTCAGTAAGCATACCCAGAGAATATACCAAAGAATACCCAAATACCCAAAGAAGAGGGCTTGCTGGTCTGGTGATGATATTGAAGAATGGGCACCAACACACTCTGCTGTTTGAAATGTACATTACTGGTACAATATTTCTAAAGGGTGATCTGGGACTATGTATCAAAATTTTTAATGTGTTTAAACCTTTGACCTAATAACTGTATTGTATGACAGCTATTGCAATAAAGTCATCAGACAAGAATACAAAGAGGAAAAATACTGCAGCATTACTTATAACAGTGAAAAATTGGAAATAATCTAACTGTATACACATCAGTAGTGACTAGCTAAATAATTTATGGTATATTCATACAATGTTATAGCATACAGATGTTAAAAGAAACAAGGTCAATTTCTATCTATGTGTATTGACATGACAAGATTTTGAGTTCCAACAGGTTAGAAAACAGTATATATAATATTAGCCCAATTTATGTTAATAAATAAAATACTCTTCATGTATTTCACAGGATAGGACAGAATGTTGGTTTTCTAAAATTCAATACTGCTTCTTTATTTTAAAAAAAAAGTCTATGGCAAAATGTTGACAACTACTACAGCTGCGTGGTAAGTAAATGGGGACTCACTACACTGTTCCCTCTACTTCTATATATATTTGAAATTTCCCATAATCAAATTTTTTTTCCTTATCACTTTACAATTATCTTACAATATCACTTTGTAATTCTTTAAAGCTATTTCTATTACAAAATAAAAAGGCAGTAGAATAAATTCTATTAGTGTAGGCCTTTGGCAAAGAAATAAAACATACTGCTAATAAATCCAAAATACAGTCCAGGTGATCCACCCCCATTTTGAATATTTCTCACAGATACTAATAAGTAACAAAGCATTAACTATATAAAACAGGTTCTTGCAGTGATGTCACGTATGTCAACAACTATAGCTACCTTAGAGGTTTCATAAGCCCAGGATAGATCTAGGCATTATTAAAAGAGGTGATCAAAAACAAGTTAAAGGCCAAGTTCTTTAAAAATCCTTAAGATAAAATAAATACTAATATTCAGAGCTCTATGATGACAGAGAACATCTTAGACAAATGGGGTGGAGCTAACAGTTGGTTTTGTTTAAATAGAAACTTCTCTGACAGAGGAAATAATGGACAGTGCCAGGAGATGGGGCAATCCTCTCCTTTGCTCCACTTTGCTCACAGAATGTGGCCAAATCTTTGCCCTGTTGGTTGGCTCTGCCTTTCTGACCTCTGAGTCAGCTTTTTCTCTGGCCCTCCAACCTCCTTCCTGGTTTGTGAAACCTCAGTCCATTCACAGAACCCCTGATGTGACACCATCTGTGTCATCCACACTCTCCCCAGGGTTTGTAAAATTCTGAATGATGGTGGTGGTGGTGGTGGTGGTGGTGTTGAGTTGCTCAGTTGTATCCGATTCTTTTGCAATCCATGGACTGCCAGGCTCCTCTGTCTATGGGAATTCCCAGGCAAGAATACTGGAATGGGTTGCCATATCCTCCTCCAGGGGATTTCCCCAACCCAGGGATCGAACCCACATCTCCTGCATTGGCAGGTGGGTTCTTTACCACTGAGGCATCTGGAAAATCACCTGGGAAGAATGATGTATTACTTATGTCAAAAACAAAAATTCTAAATTGCATGTGTAGTATGATAGCGATTTTGTAGAAGTTACACACAGATGTACAGATAGAAAGGAATAGAACAAGATGAAACAGTTTTGATAAGACAGTAGAATAATAACTTGTTTGTTTTGCTTTTAAAATTTAATGATGTTAGGTTCTAGCAATAACATCATAAATTTCAGTTTTAAAAATAAGTAAAAACAAACAAAAAAATTAAAACCAAAATGTTTGTGAAAATAAGGAGCTAGAAGGCCTTTAAGGATGACAAATGGCTTCTCAACAGTAAACCAGAGGGTAAACCAGTAACTCTGTCTGAGCAGCAGGAAAGCAGGGCACTGAGAGTTCTGACACACACTGTATTGTGTGGCATGTCTGGCACAAGCAGAATGGAGGCCTATACACATGACAGAGGTTTGCATTGCTGTTGGCCAAATATACAAAATGAAGTTCTGTGGAAAGGGAACTGCTAATTATCAAGGAAAAATATTTAAGCTAATAAAAAATGCTGATGACTATGAGACTGTGGACATTTCAGAAGGATGGATGCTCAAGGTAAGGGAGCTCATTCCTACCCCAAGACCATAGTCAGTGTAGAGGGGTCAGGGAGGTGTCAAAGGGGAGAAATCACAAACAAGGAGGGATCGGACCTAAGTATAGCTGCTGCCTCTTCCTTTTCCTCCTCCTCTAGGATTAGGTGGCAAAATGCCAGGCTAAACTGCCAAGGTCATATGGAAAAAACTTACCTGACAAGTGATGAAAAACCTGGTCTCAAGCCATGGAGACTGAGTTTGCAGGCAGCACCAGCTGTCACCAGGGAACCAGGCAAAGTTACAGAGAAAACTCAAATCTTACCAGAGCCCTCCTACTAGCCCCCAGGTACCCAGTCCCTCAGGTGACCTTCCTACCACCCTTGTGAAATTATGCTCCCCCTCTGGGCTTTGCTGGTGCCTAAAATGGCAAAGAATCTGCCTAGTGAAGAATCTGCCTGCAGTGCAGGAGACCCATGTTCGATCCCCACGTCAGGCAAAATCCCCTGGAAAAGGAAATGGCAACCCACTCCAGTATTCTTGCCTAGGAAACCCCATGGACAGAGGAGCCTGGTGGGCTACAGTCCATGGGGTCACAAAGAGTTGGATGTGACTGAGCAACTAACACTTTCACTTTCTAGGTGCTAGATAATGATCCAAATTTATCACCATCACCGCTGCTCCTAACCCTTAATCAAAACTAAAAATCATTACAGCCATCTCAAATAGATATTGATCCCAAAGAAGCAAATGCCATGGATGTGTGATCAACTGATTGTGAAATAATGGGTTGTAGGATTGGCTCTGCTCTATTTTGAGCAAGAAATCTTTTAGTGCCACTTGTCAACTCTGTGTGACATACCCACACCCCGCCTTCAGATCAGGGAAGCACAGAGAATAATGCATGAAACTGCACTTTCAACTCGCGTGCCACCACCCTCCTGTGTCTCACCTCTCGGGAAGAAGCCTCATGCCCGCCGTGCAGAGGATGTAAAGGGGGGTCTCCTTGTGCTTCCTCACAGGCACATGAGCAGCAGCAAAGCTCAGCAGAGGACGAAGGTAATCGCTGGCATGTTCTGGAGTGTCTGCCATCGCAGAGATTCCTTCAGTAAGATAAAATACTTCATTAAAGAATAGATCACAGAGACTCAGAAGACTGATACCCCATAAGGTTCTGTTTAGGTTCTAATCATTTATTTATTTCATAACAGTAGGGCAACAATGAATCCCTCCTATTATCCAGAATCTCCAGAAGAAAAGGGTAGCTTTCTTTCTCCCTCTTCTCTTTTCTCCTCTCATTTCTGCAGCAGATAAAAGAGATCAACCATGATATAAATTCCATTCAGTACCTGGCTTGATTTTTTTAACCACTGGTTGGCTGTTTCGGTCTCTCATCTGTTTGATGTCCAATAAGTCATGAGGATTCCCATTATGTCTTGGCCAGAAATAAACAAAAATCCGAGAGCCACTGCTGCCACAGTCCACAACAAGTCCATAATTCAGATCTGGGTCTTCAGTGTCAGTAGCTTCAAGATCTCCTACTCGAGCCAAATACCTAAGCCGGGCAGAAAGAGGAACTAGTGTTAAGCGAATAGCAGCACCACGTAATTCTTCTGTTCATGAGTCTTCATTAAGTGGCTACATGTGCCAAGCACATGGGACTACACATCCTAACAAAAGAATGAAACAATATCGACCATATTTACTGATGTATATGATGCAACAGCTGGTTGACACTGAAATTACATACCTAAAAGCTTGGGAGTAGTTCTGAAACTGGCCAGGGTAGTAAATCTTTTACTAAGCATTAAAGGGTTTCTAGGCCTGAGTAGATATTGAGCCACTAAATTGGGAGGGCGGTTTGCTATGCACACTAGATAACTAAGGCAATCCTAATTTCATTTCTATTTATCTATCCTTTCTCTATATAGACATGAAGAATATGGCAGAATGATAACTGACTGACAGCCGGAAGATGGAACAAGTAAAGATGCTACCATCAAAACCCCAAGGTTTGAGTCTCAGCTCTAGCACTTCCTATACTTTGAGACCGTCAGGAAATTACTTAGCTTCTCTCAGGTAGTTTCCTCATCTGGGAAATCAGGGTAGTTGGGAGTCTCTACCCTCAGAGAGGCAATGGGTATTAAGCAGTGAGCAGCTGCTGTGCCACTAACCCCTGCTCTTACTGTTACAGGATAACGACAGGGAGAACTAGCAGGAGATGCTCTGGGGGCAAGGGCTGAAAAGTTCAGAAAGAAAAGAAGGCTACAAGCTGGTAAAATCCTTCTTCTGAGTGAGGCTCCAATAAATATTAAAGTCAAAAAATTAAATAAATATTAAAGCCTCCTCAGAGTGTGAGGGTCTAAAAAGTACAAACATCACTGATGATGTCTTTCAAAGGTTTAATCTGAAGAGGAGACCAATGAGAATGGCTTTTAGCTTATTACTCAAAAAAGGAGAGCTCTTTCTTGGTGCTAATATACAAGGCATAGTAGGCAGGCTAAAATTTTGTCTTCTAGATTCTTTGAAATTTGAATAAATACTACTATAGATTGAGCTAATAACTGAATGAATACCTTGAAAGGAATACTGTGAATTTTTCCAAGTAATATTACCCCCTCCCCCAGAACAATCATATTTGTGTTTACTGGTGACTTCACATTGCTACACAAAGTTCCTTATTTTGGACAGAAAAGCAAACTTGATGAAAAGAAGACCTTGTAGAAACAGTTTAAAAATCAAAAAAGTAGGGCTGAGTACCTTTCCTATTCTAAAACACAAAATGCATTTTTTTTTTAAAAGAGAGGAACATACATTTGAGCTTGTGTGCTAAGTTGCTTCAGCTGTGTCTGACTCCATAGGGTTGCAAAGAGTCGGACATGACTGAAGCAACTTAGCACAAATGCACATAATCCTGTAAATTACTGCATCAGATAGGGTCAGGGAGAACTTTTTTTCTGGATCTGATGTGAGAGTGAGTTGTGGGAAGTGAAGCAGATGGTAAAAATCTGTTTCACACTAGAAAGTTTACAGTCCTAAAGATTCCCTTCCACCACAAACTTCCCCATTCTAATCAAATTACTGGGCTGCAATGGGCTCACAATCCACCAAACAATTCTTAACAAGTCACTTCTATCACAGGAAAGTTTGGCAGACATCTGGGTGCCACAGACAGAAAAGAAATAGGCAAGATAATCGATGCCCCAAATGACTTTTCATTTCTCATCAGCAATTCTATTTCACAGATCTTTACCTGCTTTCCTTCTCTGAAAACCACTCTTTCTACTTCGCTTTGACAAGATTCTGTATCCTGTCACCTCCTGCTTAATGAATAACTTTTCCTAGTACATTGGTTCTCAAAAGTTGTTGGCTCAGGACCCCTTTTTACAGTCTTAAAACTAGTGAACTCCAAAGAGCTTTTGCATACATGGGTTACATCCATCTACATATACCATGTTAGAAAATAAAACAGAACATTTAAAATATTTATTAATTTAGACAAGAGCACGCAGCACGCCAGGCCTCCCTGTCCATCACCAACTCCCAGAGTGTACTCAAACTCATGTCCATCGAGTCGGTGATGCCATCCAGCCATCTCATCCTCTGTCGTCCCCTTCTCCTCCTCCCCCCAATCCTTCCCAGAATCAGGGTCTTTTCCAATGAGTCAACTCTTCACATGAGGTGGTCAAAGTATTGGAGTTTCAGCTTCAGCATTAGTTCTGCCAATGAACACCCAGGTTTGATCTCCTTTAGGATGGACTGGTTGGATCTCCTTGCAGTCCAAGGGACTCTCAAGAGTCTTCTCCAACACCACAGTTCAAAAGCACCAATTCTTCGGCGCTCAGCTTTCTTCACAGTCCAACTCTCACATCCATACATGACTAATGGAAAAACCACAGCCTTGACTAGATGGACCTTTGTTGGCAAAGTAATGTCTCTGCTTTTTAATATGCTATCTAGGTTGGTCATAACTTTCCTTCCAAGGAGTAAGCATCTTTTAATTTCATGGCTGCAATCACCATCTGCAGTGATTTTGGAGCCCCCCAAAATAAAGTCTGACACTGTTTCCACTGTTTCCCCATCTATTTCCCATGAAGTGATAGTAAACTCATTACATATTAACAAATTTTATGAAAAACAACTATTTTCTAAACCAAAAATCTGGAAGTGTGGTAGTGTTTTAGAGTTTTGCAAATCTCTTTAGTGTCTGAATTAACAGAAAATAGCTAGATTTTCATATTTATTTCTGTATTCAACCTGTTACAATAAGTTGTTTTGACTGAAGCATGTGAAGAATGACAGAGGATAAGATGATTGGATGGCATCATCAACTTGATGGACATGAGTCTGAGCAAGCTCTGGGAGTTGGTGATGAACAGGGAAGCCTGGCATGCTGCAGTTCATGGGGTCGCAAAGAGTCGGACATGACTGAGCAACTGAACTGAACTGACTGATAGGAAGAAAAATCAAGCTTCACATAATGTTGCTGGAAAAGGGAATAGTACTTCAGCATCCTTTTTAGATTACTGTGGATATTCTCCTTTGACACTACACTAAAAGTTGACAAGTGGAGTTTCTTAAAGGTTGGTGGCAATGTGGAATCTAAACTCTAAGAACTTTTCATACTGTTACATTAAAATGCACTGGTCTATCTTTCACTTTAAATTGCTTTTACTCATGCATGATGTTGTCACATCATATACTGAAAACTACTGGTTCATTGAGCTATGCAAATCTTAACGTTGACATATTTCGTTCTACCAAAAAACCACATACTTTCATTAATATCATTACCAATTTTATATAAAAAAAAAAGTCTTTGAAGTATTGGGAAGCAATACTTCTGAAGTATTGGGAAACACACCCACAGTGGCAGAAACAAATATCCCAAACTTCTACTTTTCACTTAAAAGTTCAAATTTTATCATTGGCAGTAAATACTGACAATAATTTTCTGTAAAGTGATAGGTTTTTACTTCATTCATTTTCAAGAAAATGTCTTATGAAATACCCATGTCTGAAATTCATGGTTGTTCTGACAGTTATTCTTTCAAGTGAAAAATAGTATGATAAAAGCAGGGCTGTGTTTAGCTCACAACTCAAACAACTGCATTAAGTGCTTTTCCTTGAGACAACCTGCATATATAGCGAAGTGCTTAATGCATATTTCCCATTTTGTCACACAGAACATTGAAAAAATATTCTTAAGTGGAACTTGACTTTTCTTCCCATTGCAATTGTGTGACAGTGAAGATACCATAATTACTGGTTTAATTTGTTACTCTATCTTGATTTGTGCTAAAGCACTCGCAGTTCTACCCAACATTGTTTTCGTATCATCACTGTAAATGTCAACTCAGCAAAAAAACAAATACTATCACCATAGCCAAAAGGTAGAAGCAACTTAGATGTCCATGATAGATGAATGAATAAACACATGTGCTATATACATACAACGGAATACAATTCAGCCTTAAAAAAAAAGAAAGAAATCCTGCCACATGCTACAACATGGGTGAACCTTGAGAACATCATGCTAAGTGAAATATGTCAGTCACAAAAGACAAACACTATATAATTCCACTTATAAGAAATATGAAAAATAAGCAAATTCACAGAATCAGAAAATAGAATAGTGGTTATCAGGGGCTAGGGGTAGGGAAAAAATTAGGGTTGTTGTCTAATGAGTATAGAGTTTCAGATTTGCAAGATGAAAAAGTTCTGGAGATTGGCTGCATAACAATGTGAAGATACTTAACACTTAGAAACAAGATGATAAATTGTGTTATGCATTTTTAAAACACAATTGGCTGCATAACAATGTGAAGATTAACACTTAAAAACAATTAAGATGATAAATTGTGNCTTAACACTTAGAAACAAGATGATAAATTGTGTTATGCATTTTTAAAACACAATTGGCTGCATAACAATGTGAAGATTAACACTTAAAAACAATTAAGATGATAAATTGTGTTATGCATTTTTTTAGACACAACCTTAGTATTTTTATCAAAATAGTTTTGGCCTTACAGACTCCCTAAAAGTGTCTCAGAGATTCCCAAGGGTCACTTAAGAGCCACTACTTGAACACAACCTTTCTTTCTAACAAACATCCGTCTGTTCTTCTTCCTATTCCTTCTCCTTTCCCTTCTTTGACATGGTTTCAGTTTTTAAGAAGCCTCCACTCAACAATGCTGATGCTTGGAATATTCACAATGACCTGAAAAGGCGTCCTCCTTCTGCTCTAACATGGAGTGTCATTATTCTCTTTAAGCAGTTTGCTTGTATTTCAGGCTGAGCCCTAAGATTTCTTTCCTATTTGTTTGCTCCACCTCTCCATTTAGATTCTCAGTTTCTCAAGAGTGAGTACATTAACTGCATGCCCCAATACAGTCACAATGTGCCTCACATTTCTCCAATATGTATCAATCAATCAATACTGACTGGCTTGGGCCTAGAGCTCACAATATAAAGCTGCTGGTCTGTTAACAATTCACCTAGGTCTTTGTATAGCTATACTCAAAAGCAGTTGGTCTCTTTCTTAGAAAATTT